TTTCTATATTTCATATGTAGCAAAACAGTACGTAGGTAGTACTGAAACCATATATACAAGAGTCTCTAACTATCACTACCACTCTCTATATTGACTCTAAAACATCAATAATGGTGTCAATATCATTTGTGTAGATCTGATTACACCAAAAACACAACAGCAAAATAAAGTTTAACTTGATCTTCTGCACTCCATTCTCCACGTTCTCAAAACATCTGGAGTTTCTCTCTTTCCAAATTGTCCACCAAATGCAAGCAGGTATAATTCTCCATCTGGTCCTGTCCTTTGCATGTAGTCCTGTTTCCTCCCAACTTTTAAGAGTATCTATAACCTTCCCAGGCATGGTCCGGGAAATGCCTTTGAGATTAAGAATAATTCTCCATAGATGAGATGTTATCATACAGTGAAGGAAGAGATGGTTAATTGCCTCTGCTGTTTCCCCACACAAAAAGCATCTAAAACATAAACTGAAGCCTCTTTTCATCAAATTATCTTGTGTAAGGACTGCTTTCTTAGCCAGTAGCCACACAAAACAAGCAACTTTGTGAGGAATTTTTGTTTTCCAGATGTGTTTCCAAGGCCAATTGGCTATCTGCTGATTGGAGTAATTCATCCTCTTGTAAGCTGCATTAACTTTGAATAAACCCTTACCGCTGCCTTGCCACCATAGTACATCTTCACCTGCTTGTAATCCACTAATCTGCTCTAGTGCACACAAGAATTCAACCACTCTTTGTGCTTCCCAATCGTTGATATGTCTTCTAAAAATGATGTTCCATCCTTGAGGTGTCCACATCTCTGCTATAGTCCTTTGCTGATGTAGAGCTAAATTGAAGACTTCTGGAAAAGCCACATCCAATCTGCCAACTTAATGCCAATTGTCCTTCCAAAAGCTAGTCTTATTCCCATTATACACTTTGATCTTGGAATCATCCCTCAACTCACTCCACAGTGATCTAATGGATCTCCATAGACTAACCCCATATGGTGTAGTGACCTCCTTAGTCATCCATTTGTCTTCCTGTCCATATTTTACTTTAATAATGTTTCCCCAAAGGAGTTGATTCTCCTTGTTGAGCCTCCACAACCATTTCATTCTAAGAGCTTTACTATGAATCTTCAAGTTCTTGATCCCTAACCTTCCGAGGTTCTTGCCAAACATGAGTGCTTTCCATTTCACCAAGTGGTAGCCCTTTCTTTCTTTGTTCCCATTCCATAAAAAATTCCTCCTGATGCTATCCAGCCTATTGATGACCCCTGCTGGAATGGGGAACAAGGACATCATATATGTTGGAAGTGCATTAAGAACTGAGTTGATAAGAGTCACTCTGCCACCTAGAGATAGATACTGGGTTTTTCACCTGTCCAATTTCTTTTCACACTTCTCTATAACATTGTTCCAAATCCCTATTGACTTAGATTTAACTCCCAAAGACATTCCAAGATATATTGTTGGTAAAGCCCCTACTTCACTACCCAGAACAACAGCTAACATATCCATGTTTGTGACTTCATTGATAGGGTAAAGAAAACTCTTCCTCCAGTTGATATGCAAACTAGAGATTACTTCGAAAAGAACAAAAATCACCCTGAGATATTTTAGTTGATCTTCTTCAGCATCACAGAATATGAGGGTATCATCAGCATATTGTAAATGAGTCACTTCTAAACTATCATTGCTCCTTCTAGCTACATCAAAACCTTTAATCCACCCATACTGATTGGCTGTTTTAATCATATTGTTAAGACCTTCCATAACAATCACAAACAAAAAAGGTGATAAAGGATCACCTTGCCTTAGTCCTCTTTCTGCTTTGAAAAAACCTGTTGGGGATCCATTTATAAGAACTGAAATTCTGGCTGTTGACATGCAGAATTTAATCCAATTTGCACAAGATACCAGGCTTCTTTTGTTTTAACCTAGAATCAACTGCTTCATTGGCTACCATTACAGCATCCATGATCTGTCAACCATTACTCCCCACAATTTCCCTAATATGTTTCTATTCTCAGATTCTATGTGATATAGAAACAACGCTAGTGTACCACTTGAGGAGTAAGCTTATGATAATAAAGGAATTTCTTCCTAACTATATGTCCATAATCACTTGAGGAGTAAGCTTATGATAAAAAAGGAATTTCTAAATTCCTGATCCCCAATCCTCCCTCTTTCTTACCCTTTGTGCTTAAGATATTGATGGGATTCAAGAAGAGAATTGTTTGCCATTTAGTTAATACACCTGTATCTAGGTGGGAATTTCCATACATGTGGGGGCTAAAGTATGGAGGTATTCGATTTTGCCAGTCAAACATCTCTTTAAGAGCTCCAACACTCCTTTAAGAACTCCTTCCTGGACTTCAGTGAGCCTTTTTCCACCCCCCAGTGCATAAAGTGAGTTTCCACCTTCCATGCTCAAATGCAGCCTTGCCTCTGGCCATCTCATTATGCTTGCAACTTGATTAATTGTTCCTTACTGATACAAGTTCTTTTTCAATAAATATTTCATACTTTGTGCAATGTCTTCTCTTACTCCATGTGGAATGCTTTCCCGAATATGAATGGTTCTCCTATGAAAGCTTTGTCTTATGACAATTCTTATATGTCTGCCATATAATTTTGGAAGATACAGTATTTATGCAGCTGCTCTTTCTTTCCCATTTGCTACCTGCTTCACCTGATCTCTCTGAAAATGAACTACATAAGACTTGACAGATGCAAACCATAACATTTCTATTTGCTGATGTCCTGCAAACATAGTTACTTTCTTTCAACTCATTTATACCAGGTATCAGTTTTAGAGAAATTTTTCCCGAGTTCTTAGGTCTTGTTTCAGGCTAAAAAGGATGTCCATTCAAACTCGTGCACCTCATTTTAGTTTGATCACCCTTCGCCTCACCATATCTTACTCTTAGATTACTCGGTGATCAAAACAGAACTAGAGTTTCTTTCCTCGCATTAGGAGTTGCATATAGATAACGGTCGTATAATTATTTTCTTTTCGTCCTTGTTAAAAAATTTTACTTTCATTTTGACTTGTCCAAGAACAAAAAGGAGAACCAGTGGGACAGAACTTAGTCGAAGATGTTTGAAAGAGGGAGATGTGTTGGAGAGTTTTAGGTAGTTGGGGAAGAAGCATGCTCTCGAAGTTTCGATATTTTCTGATGACTGGAGTTCAGAGACGAGGAGCTTCTCTTTCTGGACTCAATGTATAACGGTCTATTAGGGTCTTAGACGTCATATTTTTTTTTGCTTATAAAAAGTCCTGAAAAAATGAAATATACATGCATGCTGCATTTTTCATAGTTCTCAATCGACAAATGTTGGATTATTTTACTTTTAATACAAGTTTGCTTTGTTAACAAACGATGAAGCAACATGCCCGTACATAGAGATCTCAGCTTCTTTTTGAAGGAGGTTTGGATATTTATGAGAGAGAGAGAGAGAGAGAGAGAGAGATTAAGGACGGTAGAGTATTGATGGGAGAGGCCAGATTAAGCGGAGATGGCGGACTTACTTTCATATACTTCTGAATGAAGAAGGGGATCGGGATATTGTGCTAGGCGAGTTGGGGCATTCCGAGAGTCACCGTGACTTTGGGTACTGTAGGCGCATCAAGGTTGAGGAGGTCGTTGGTGCTATGCGTAAGATGAGCAGGGGCAGAGCTACCGGGCCTAACGAGATTTCGGTAGAATTTTGGAGGTGTGTGGGTAGAGCAGGTTTGGAGTGGCTGATTGGGATGTTTAATATTATTTTCAGGACGAAGAGGATGCCGGATGAGTGGAGGTGGAGTACGGTGGTTCCGTTGTACAAGAACAAAGAAAGGTGATATCCAAAGTTGCAACAATTATAGGGGTATCAAATTACTGAGTCATACCATGAAAGTTTGGGAGAGGGTGGTAGAAGCAAGGTTGAGGAGGACGGTGTCTATATATGACAACCAGTTCTGGTTCATGCCGGGTCGCTCTACTACGGAAGCTACCCACCTTATTAAGAGGTTGGTGGAACAATACAGGGATAGGAAGAATGATCTGCATGTGGTGTTTATTGATATGGATGAAGCGTATGATAAGGTTCCTAGAGGTTCTTTGGAGATGCCTAGAGGCTAAAGGTGTGTCGGTTGCCTACATTAGGGCGATTAAGGACATATATGATGGAGCTAAGACTCGGGTTAGGACAGTGGGATGCGACTCTGAGCATTTTCCGGTTGTTATAGGGTTATACTAAGGATCTGCGCTCAGCCCATTCTTATTTGCCCTGGTCTCACTGACACACCATATTCAAGGGGAGGTGCTGGTGTATGTTATTCGTTGACGACATAGTTCTGATAGACGAGACGCGAAGCGGCGTTCACGAGAGGCTGGAGGTTTAGAGACATGCCTTTGAGTCTAAGGGTTTCAAGTTGAGCAGGACTAAGACGGAATATCTTGAGTGTAAGTTCAGTGCCGAGCCGAGGGAAGCGGGCATGGACGTGAGGCTTGGATCGCAGGTCATTCCCAAGAGAAGCAGTTTCAAGTATCTTGGGTCGGTTATCCAGGGGGATGGGGAGATCGGCGAGGATGTCACACACCATATAGAGGTGGGGTGGATGAAATGGAGGTTAGCATCTGCAGTCTTGTGTGACAAGAAAGTGCCACCGCTACTCAAAGGTAAGTTTTATAGAGCGGTGGTTAGACCGGCCATGTTGTATGGGGCTGAGTGTTGGTCAGTTAAGAACTCACATATCCAGAAGATGAAAGTAGAACAAATGAAGATGTTGAGGTTGATGTGCGGACACACTAGGATGGATAAGATTAGGAATGAAAATATTCGGGAGAAGGTGGGCGTGGCTCCCATGGATGACGAGATGGGGAAGCGAGACTCAGATGGTTCGGGCATGTACAGAGGAGAAGCCCAGATGCCCCGGTAAGGAGGTGCGAGCGGTTGGCGTCGGTGGGTACGAGGAGTGGTAGATGGCGGCCTAAGAAGTATTGGGGAGAGGTGATCAGACGGGATATGGCGAGGCTTCAGTTTATGCTTTTGACATCTAGATGTGCTGTGTATTTTTCGCATTATGATGTAGTCAGATTTCTCAAAAACACACACAGATATGCATGAAACTGTTATTAACTTTGTATTTAGTGTATTAATTTTTGTTTTTCTCATTGCTAGAGCTCGCTTGATTATCCTTTGGTGGTCTTAGTGCTCAGTTCCTGGTGCCCTATTTGCTTTGCTGTTACTTCCATGCAGTGGCGAGTACCGAGGTAATTTTTTCTAGTATTTTAAGTTTTCTTTTGAATTGTTTATTCATGATCTTATTTGTTATGCAATAATCATGGTCTTATTCTTTTTTTTTTCCTTTTTTTTTATAAATAATAAATTCTTTCATTGTTTTTCCTACCAAGATGATGTCTTATACGAAGTGTACGGCTGAGCTTTAACAAATATAACTAATATCCGTTCAAAAAGTATATTATGCTTACACCAAAATATTAAATGACTGAAAGATATCCTTTGATTCCCATGCTGGTCTCTTCTATCCCTTGAAAATTCTTTTTGCTTTTTTCCCACCAAGTTGTCCCAAGTGCGCATAAAGCAATTATCTTTCATGTCTTTTTCTTCCTAGCCTCCATCATCTCCACTATCACACTTGCACAACATCTAGCACCATTTAAAGTGAAGCCACACTATATAAAATTGGAGGATATTAATGTCCATGTACTTTGATGCTTGGTATGATGTGATCCATGCTCTCTTATGTGTGTTAACATGGGCTACTGGCTTATTACGGTTCACTTTCTCTTCCTAAGATTGGTGACAGCATCCCACATAGCAAAGCTTGTGAAGAAGACCACTTCTATCAAAGGCTATGTTGCTCGTACTCTCCGAAAATATCATCGGGTGTGTGTCGGATCCTCCAAAAGTAGTGTGTTTTTGGAGGTTCCGACACGGATGCTGCATCATTTTGGAGAGTCCACGCAACATATATCAAAGGAAAGGGTCACTTAAGAAGGCATTTCCAACCGAAAGTTTACTTGTTGTAGAACCGTAACCCATCACTTGGCCTCTCCATCTTTGTTGCGCGGACTCTCCAAAATGTAGCCGTACCCGTGTCGGATCCTTCAAAAATGCACTACTTTTGGAAGATCCGACACGTATTCGGCCACATTTTCGGAGAGTCCGAGCAACATAGCTCTCCATGAGTGTGCATGCCTTGATCTTCGTCATTCTCTTCCACCAAAAGCAAGAATGGCATAATCAATCGTATCTGCATCCGAAACGCAAGCTAGCGAATAAGAAAGTGATAGGTCTTTTTTAATTTTTTTTGGTGCTTTGGTCTTCCATACTGACTTCCTAACTTACCTCAGATCCTCTCTATTGAGCAAGCATTATTATATGACTTCAATCGTAAAATATTGACTGAGCGGCCCTTTTCATGTCGTTTATCATCTGCTCAAACTGTATGTAGACGTAGATCTTTTTTAGGAACTCGTTGACCGTATCTCATTCACAAGTCTTTTAAAAGATACTTCATAAGACACCGTATGTAGACACCGTGGTATGCCTATTAATCGTGACATAAGAGTAGATTGGGGAACTTATTAAGGTTAAGCCTTCACTATACATTGAGCCAAAATCCGATGTGAATGCTATTCCTTACTATGTAAAAGGTTGTCTGATTCCCTCAATATTCCTTCCCCACAGTTATCCTGTATAATGTTGCAAGATCATTCAAGAATCACCATCCTTTTGGAATCTATATTTGGCAAAAATCACTCTCCTCTGTAAGGCCTCGCATTCGTCAGCTAACCTGCATAACATTTTTGCTGTAGAGCTCGGTTGAAGGTTGACCACTTGCAAATACTTGGGGCTTTTGTGACCTCTGGTGTTGTTACGCTCTCCCAAAGTCCCACCAATTAAGACATGCTGCTTATCCCCTTAGCTCTGTCGTCTGTCCTTTAAGCATCAATCATAAGTTCACAAGTTTGTTGCTAACGAAGGAAAGGATTGTGAATACAGGCAGGAGAAATATCAGAATGCTTGATTAGGTCAATTTTATGAGAGTGACCTTAGCTTTGGTAGTGTTTCGTCCAGTACTAGCCCTACAATCTTTTCTGGGCTTTCTTGATTAGTTGCTAGTCTCCATCTCTAAATTTTCCTCCAAGTGAAAGTCTCCTGAGCTTTGTTAAGTAGAGTGGTCACTTCATGGTATCCAGTTAGCCAACTGAAGCGGGACTTCTACCTCCAATTGATCTCCTGTGCTACCACGACCAGGCTCACCATTGACCTCTCCTCCCCGAATCTCCGCATTGTAGATCAATTAGTTTGTCTCTTCACTTTTCTCCAGTGTACGTAGCTCCAAGAAGAGACTCACCCTCTGCTCTGTCAACTGCTTCCCGGTGAAACTCTTTTGATTCATTTTTAGTAATCCAATTATTTTATTAGTCTTAACCCTACCTCGTCCTTGATAGATGAGTTCCGCCGTCATGCCTTGACCATCTCCTTGAAGTCATCATATCAAATATACAGTTTTTTTAAGGTATGAAAGGTTTGAAAAGTGATATTCCACTATTCATTCCTCTGCGGTCCAAAATAATTGAATCAGCTATTGGTTGGCAATGCTTGTAGAATAAGATTTTAGCCCTCCACATTCAAAAATAAAATTTTAACTTACATATTAATCACTTACTAAAGCTGTGGTACCTACTCATCCAACTCTTTTGACAATCAGCTCTTCCCATCATTATTTATTGAAGAGATCAGGCTACTAAGTTCCAATGCCGTCTTCCTTTCTAGTTGTCTTGTGATTTGGCCAGCAACTTTGCCCTTCCCCTCCTTTTTACCGCTTCTCACTTTTTCACACATAATTCATCATTTCCGTCTCAAAAAGAATTTGTTGAAGCTGTGCAATTCGTGTTGGCCCGAACACCGTTAGACTCGTTTATTCCACTGGAATACTCATCAATATATCATTCCCATCCTTAAGAAGCTTCAAATTTGACCTATTCTTGTTCCACCCAAAGGCAGCTCTCTGCATTGTGATGACACTTTGACTCGCCTACTTCTAAGGTAATTGAAGAGCCTTCCTGTTCTGCGTCCTCCTTTCTCTCTACTTGGAACATGAGTGTTTAGACTCCACTTTGACTCGCTTGCTTCTAAGGTAATTGAAGAGCCTTCCTGTTTTGCCTCCTCCTTTGTCTCCTCCTACATCCTTCCGATACCAATTGCAGACTTGGAGTAGCGCGGACCATACTTGTGGTTGCCGCTTGCATGTTTGCTTCGGCTCAGAAAGTGTCATATTTCCTTCCTTAGGTTCTTTCTCCTTCTCAAACTTCTTTTGACGACAAAAGTTGGCTTCGAGCTGCGGAGACAATGATAGGTGGTCTGGCTCTTGCTCCATCACCATCGGGTTTTTTGATCTTGCGCTACTGCTTTGCACCAAAGGTTGTTCTTAACCAAATAGACCCTTTTAGTTGGCTTTTGGTTCATGTGGGCCTTTCTGACGAGTGGTGATGACATCTTTCTTTATTTGGAGGTGATTTAGTTCCCCAACCACTCCCCTGCCATAAACCTACTTCACCCTTCTCACAATGTTTGGACTTGTAATAATAATTTGTTTGAGGCTTTTTTGGGGAACACCTGAGGGTGAATGAATGCGTAGCTCTAACTGTTAGTAGGATCACTATAGATCAGATTTTTGGTGTTCTCCTTTTCTTCTTTTCAGATATTTCTATTTACCTTTTCCTCGTATTAGTTTTCTATAAGGATAACTTTTCTAACTTCTAGTGCTTGATTTACTTTTGCTTGCTGAACACTTTGGTCAATTGCCAAAGTTTGATTTTATTAAATGACTTTTGATCTCTCATTTCTTTTGCTAATGATTTGACATTTAGTTTAGTGGCCTTCGTCTGAATTTTCATTTTCCTGTGGTAAAGTGAACATATGTGAGCCAATCTTCCTACTTTAGATAGAATCTTATTGTCAGCCTAACCTCCAACGCTTTCCATTTTAAGGAGCTTCTCTTTCTTTTCTTTTCTTTTGTCCCCTTCCTGGTGGGGGGAGGCAGAGTTAGATTTTCCTCTCTCGTATCATGTAACATGATGCTAGAAATGTTTCTTGGTGTTGAAAGGTGTGATGCTCTTAGTTCATACTTCTATGCTTTGCGTGCAGTGATTTGTCATATTCTGGAATTGGAGGTGCTTGGGCAAAGAATAGCAGGCAGATGAACATGAATAAAAAACGTGCTGAGTTCTTTAGCAAATCCAGGAAGTTTGGTTCTGTTGGAGTTCCATATAGTATCCCAAAGAGCTCATTTGCATGGTCTGATTCTCTTGTCAAAGGTATTAGCTCTAATTTATCATTATCAAGGTACCACGTTTAATACTTGTAACTTGCAATGGAGCTAAAGATTATGTAAATCATTTTGAAAGCTATTATCCAACTGTGTAGTATTTAACATGCGCATAATAATTGGATCCTACCCAATTCTTGNGAGGGGGGTAGTAGTCCTACATCGGTTGGGTGGGAGGCAATTTATATCCTTATATGGTCTTGGACAATTCTCACCTCTAGAGCTAGCTTTGAGGTTGAGTTAGGCCCCAGGTCCATTTACTTATCAATCTTAATAGCAAGTAGTTTGCTTCATGTCTCTTCAAAAGGCAATGAAGAAATAAGGGAGTTAAGGATTTGTGGGCCTTTGCAACTATAACAAGATAGTACCAAGTAAATGCACAGTTTGTCTTATACTGGAGCTTTAATATAAGAAAGGCTAAAGGGACATTTATTGAGGTTTTACATGAATAAGGAATGATAAAAAAGGTTTGAGGTTGACAATTTTTCTTGAGCGTAAATCGTTCTCGAGTCTCGACATTTTTATGGTTATAAAAGCATGTTAGTAAAGATAAATTGGAAGTTTCAAGTTACAGAGCTTTCAAATATAAAATGGTGTCATTTTTTCTTAGTGTACAGATTATAAAGGATAGAATGCTATATAAAATTTGGAGCAGAAGGAGTAACGAATGTTCTTAGAAAGGGAGTTGTTCCAATGACAAGAAGAATAGAGGAAATATGTTTTGAAGCTGGGCAGTCGAAGTAAAGTTGTAGGCATTAGGTGCATCTTAGAGAAAGGGACCTTCTTAAAGTTCTAAACACTGAATTTAGGCTGTTCTTCATTCCCCCCTCCCAAAAATAAAAGGAATAATTGAGGCTATTGTCTGTTGTAGCTGTTTCTTTCATTGTATGCTTTAGACAGTTGAATATTTTTACTGATCTTCTCAAAGGTAACGTGTCATGGACGGCAAATTACCTAGACCGGACCTACTTTCCTCCATAGGGAATTCCAGGAAGTTCCAATGAGAAGATTATGTTGCACATTTTTTATATCTCATAGCGGTGAGAGTTGCTCATCCTTGGTGCAATTTATCAGGCTGCATCTATTCATGGCTTTTATGAGAAATCTCAAAAGGTTCACTTAAGTTGACTGTCCCCGGGTTGGTAGCCATGTCTGTTTCAGGTGGTTGTGGATCGTGTGTAGAATCAATTTTTGGCTGTCCAAATAATTTTCATGGAGCTGTATAGAATTGCTCAACCTCACAATTGAAGAGGTCAATGTTGGACCATTTGCAAGTGGAGCACTGCCTAAGTGACATAAGTGTTTGTTAGCTTGTGAGTTATGACCTTCATGTTAGGTTGTTAGCTAAGTTAAAGGCAGAATTGCTAGACTGAAATTCAAAGGTGAGCATTCTAAAAGTAGTCACAGCTGTTCACACAGGTTCAAAGCATTTCTTTCACAGTTTTCAAGCCTCATCCACTATCTTATCATAAAACCTGTTGCTGTGTGATTGAGACTAGAATTTATCAGTGCTTGTGGTTGTTCATATTTTGGATAATTATATTGATTATGTAACTTCTAGCTATTCTTGATGCAAAATATCCAACATCTTGATCTTGGTATTCCATATTTATGGAAGTGTTTTGGGTTGCTTAATTCTGGTTATGTCTATTATTTGATGATTGCAGGTTTTTCAGATGGAAAAGGGAAAAAAGTGCACGAATACTATTCAACTTTTCACAAGACGCCTAACAGAAAGAGATTTTCAAAAAAAGAGTGGGAAGATTTCACACAAGTGTCTACCAAGGAGGCTGTAGCTGAATTAGCTTCATCTCCCGAATTCACTGATTGGATCATCAATCATGCTGATAGAATACATCTTCTTCCAGAGGATAGTTCAGATGAATCAGTTGGAAGCGGGTCAGACTCAACAGACGAGAATGCTGCAGAGAGTTGTAGTGGGCTTGGCTTGTTTAAGTGGCATCGTCGCTTGTAGCACCTTCCTCTTAAGCTGATCATGGGAGTTTCACCTTTAAACACCAGATGGGAGTTCCACTCTCTTCTGATTAGACCCAAGCTCTTACCATTCTTCAGTTTTCCCGTATGCTTGGCAACAGAGTAACTATAGTCTATAGGTATCGGTAGCTGGTAGTAGTTACAAGTTTTGAGTTGTAGCGTTGGAACTAGCATTTAAAGCAATAGTGGTAGCTCCTTGTATGTTGATAAAGACTGCATATTCAAGCTTTATCAATTTTCTTTTGTATTTCAGTGTTTCATCTTCAAGATATCTTTTCTCCATATTCGCTTGCTTGACTCTTTCTTTGTTCACTCATGCTTTTTGTAGATGTTTGCATGAGTCGTTAAATTTTACGCCCCGTCTTTAAAGTTGGGAACGTTAAAGATGGTTTAGTCCTTAAGAGCTCTTTTCTGATGGCCTAGGCGCCCATGAGATTCAAGAAATTTGGATGGTAAAATCGCACAAACCAAAAGACAATACATGAAAGTGATGAAAGCAATTGAAGCGTAGGAAGGATAATATATCAATTATTGTAGTAATAACACAAATTAAGTAATTGCGCGTTTGATCTCCTCTTGTAGACACTAACAACAAATACATCTTGAAACAAAGAAAGGCGAATCAAGTAAGTGAAGCAATTAGATGAATGCTTGCCGCGTCGGCATTTAACTGGCTTGACATTAATTTTTGGAAAGATCCTTCGTTGTGGACTAAATGGATTACAGATCAACTAATTAAGAACAACTTTCCATTTATGGAAAATAAAAAGCAACCAAGTACAAACAACCTTTTTGAGAAGAATCATTGCTTCTCCGCGTTGATAGGAAACTAACGATTGTTTTTAGATCCTTATCATGTGTCGAGGCTTGTGGAATTTCTATAAATACTTAAATGTTACGCTAACGACAATACTCAAGACGTGATTTATTGCATATATCAAGGCAGGTCTTCAAGAAGCTAATATTGGAACGGTATGTTTTGGAGAAGATTTTATTATTGCTTAAATATTACATCCACCTTTCTTGACTCTACCGTCTTCTGTTCTAATTTGAGAAGGTCTGTGAAGAGTAAGGATGGAAAAAGGAAATCTGGAATCCATTTTTTGTTTGCCATTTCCTTTAGCCTCTCTCAAGTAAACATGTTTAAAGAGAAGCTATATAGACAATGTAAGAGATACACTTCTCCAATACACATGGATTCTTGTTATTGTTCTTGTTGTTTTCTTCCGATTAGAAAGGAACAAGTAGGGATTTTGTGGTCCCACAAGACAAAGGCTAATTTCTTATAAGGAGGAACCTGTTGTCCCGTAAGGCAACATGGCAGAGAAAGGCTTTGGACCTCTCTTTTGATCTAAACTAGTAAATATGCCGCGGTTCGCGCCATTATAAAAGACATCATAAATTTGTCGAATATTATCTTATAAATATAGTTGGCATATAATAGATAAAAAATTCGTATCGGTATGTATTTACAAAAAATAATTTTCTAAAAAAAGGAAGGTATTTAGAAAAAAGGGAAAAGGAGCCAGACTACTTGCTTAGCGCCTTCTTAACCCTAAATTAAAGAGATATATACCTTCTTAAAATAAAAATACATTAGCAGTATCTTTTTGAAGCATTTGTTTCAAAGTATCCAAATAACTTCTAATACTACAAACATGAACTTTTAGCTTTCAAAGTATCCACGCTCTTACATATATTAATGATTCTACTATAGTTAGTATATAACATAACAAACTCACTAAAAAGCAAATTCTAGTAGACTATGGAAAAGCATGCAAAGCACTATATTATATAATCATTCCCAATCTTCAAACCGCAAAACAGACTATATATTTTCAATTCATTAAAATACATAATGAAATAGTAAAGAAACTTAAATAATCCTATTAGATATTTATTATAATATGTATAGGTGAAAATCATAAAATGGAAATAATAAAGGTTTATGCTTTCTTACTTCTATAGATGTATTTTACTTGGTGTTGTGTCAGTCTAGCATGAAAATGGTGTAGTAGTTTACATGAAAATAATTGTCACGACCCCAAATCTCCCTCCGTAGGATGTCGTGATGGCACCTAGTCTCTAAGGCTAGGTAAGTCTAGCAAGCATGCGGAATATAAATGAAATACGACCAACTCCCAAATACTCAATATTTAACTAAGAAACTCTGCACCCAGTGTATACAATTCCCAAAACCTGGCGATATCGAGTCATAAGCTCTACAATAGTATCAAAGCCATCCCTATACAACTGTATCTAGTAAAGAAGGAATAATATAAAAATGGATAGAAGGCGATGCCGAGGCCTGCGAACACGGGCATGTGTACCTTGAAGTCTCCAAATGCGAACTCAGCTCACTAGTGCCGGGACTGATAGGAGGTACCTGGATCTGCACAAGAAGATGTACAGAAGAGTAGCATGAGTACACCATAACGGTACCCAGTAAGTGCCAAGCCTAACCTCGGTAGAGTAGTGACGAGGTCAGGTCAGGGCCCTATTCGAATAAATAAAAAAGACTGAACAAGTGTAAGGTAGTATAGTAATGATAACAATGAAATTGAAGCAACAAATAACATATCAAGATTAGCTACACAGATCTAAGCAATTAGTGCAACACAGAGAAAATAATTAATAATATGCTAAGGAAAACAACAACCAAAGACAAGCGCAACAATGGAGAAATGCCAATAAGAATCACTACCGAGGTACCGCCTCGTAGTCTCAAATCACAAGAATAAGTCACAATCTTTTCTTATATCACCGCGGGAGCCTTTATATTTAGTTTTGAAAATTATTTTTCCGAAATAGCATCCCGCGTTTTAGCCCACCTTGTCACACCGCATGACTTCTAGTAATTCTCCTACTAGCCACACGTATCAAGCCCACTTTATCTCACCGTATGTGTTTCAACTCCAAAATCTTATATCACCGCATGCGTATCAATATCACAATGTATCACAAATCGCGCCTCAAGTGCCCAATATCACAACTTACCAGAGAAATCAAACAATAACAATATTTTCATAGTAAAGAGCCCATGACTCAACCACAATAAACACAAGAGTCTCAATAATAACAACCAGAATGAACAACTCAACAGAATGGTATTTCACAACTTAACACTTTGCCTCAATGTGAATCACGACCTTTATATCTCAATACCAATTTCAACAACAAGATATATATCCACGATTTAACAACTTCAAGTAAAGAGTTCAACGATTAGATAATGAATACGGAATAAAGGAAACGGGACCTTTAATTAAACATGTAGGGCAATTAGCATGTAAGAGAATAAGACAAGTAGACATGTAAAAATAGACTAGAAATGATGACTATAACATGTTAAGGTAACTCAATTACGGCATGAAAGGAATCTACATAGCTAAAATCAAATTTTTTCACATTTAGCCCGTGTACACACTCGTCACCTTGCGTACACGGCTTTCACATATCACAATTATCACAACCAACACAAATCCTAAGGGGTAATTTCCCCACACAAGTTTAGGAAAGTTACTTACCTCAAATCATGCTAACTTAATCAACTAGTAGGCCTTCCCCTCGATTATCCAACTCCGAACGGCTCGAATCTAGCCAAAACAACTTCGTATTATAAATATAAACTATAGGAAACTAATTCAAACAATAAAATTACGATCTTTACGAAGAAATAAATAGTCAACTCAAAGTCAACCCGGGCCCGCGCCTCCGAATCCGACCAAAATTATAAAATCTGAACACCCATTCGGTAACGAGTCCAACCATATAAGAATTACTCAAATCCGACCTCAAATCGCCTTTCAAAACTCAAAAAATTAGCCTAGGAAGTTTCTACCATTTTTTCCAACTCAAACCACTAATTAAATGATGAAATTAACAATATATTCATGCAAAATAACCAAAACTGAGTTAGGATTCCTTACCCCAGTGATCTCTCTGAAAAATCCTCGAAAAATCTCCTCTCACCGAGCTCTCTAAGTTCAAAAATGGATTATGAATCAAACCCTCAAAAATTCCTCTTTTCTGCCTAGCAAAACTGCTTTTGTGGCCTTTGTGTCGCTTCTGCGACACAACACCTGCGGAAATACCATCACAGGTGCGGATTCTACTTAAGCTCAGGGGATTCCTCTTCTGAGGATAAAATCTCGCACCTGCGACCCTAGGCTTGGCCAGCCACTTCCGCTTCTGCGCTTCCTCGCTCGCTTCTGCGAGTCCGCTTCTACGAGACTCTGTCTGCATCTGCTATCCCAGCTGGGCAGGCCACCATTCGCTTCTACGATCAAGCCGTCACATTTGCGAGCCTGCTTATGCGTCCAATAGTGCACATATGCGATTGCACCAGAACAAACTAGCTTCAGCAGTGAGGTTAAGTCCAATTTGTTCCGGATTCGATCTGAATCATACCGGGTCCCCCGGGACCCCGTCCGAAAATACCAACAAGTCCCAAAATACATAACGAACCTACTCGAGGCCAAAAATCATGTCAAACAACATCGATTCTACGAATCGCAACCCAAATTCAAGCCTATGAACTATGAACTTCCGAATTCCAAAACCAATGTGGATTCATACCAAAACAACTCCGATTAACTTTAAATTTTGCACACAAGTCATAAATGACATTACAGACCTATTTCAACTTCCGGAATCGGGATCCGACCCCGATATTATTAAAGTCAACTTCCGGTCAAATTTTCCAAATCTTTCAAACCTTAATATTATTTTAACTTTCTCCAATTCATGCCGAAACGGCCCACGGACCTCCAAACCAACATCGGACACGCTTCTGAGTCTAAAATCACCATACAGAGCAATTGGAACCATCAAAAATCCATTCCGGAGTCGTCTACACAAAAGTCAAACTACGGTCAACTCTTACAACTTAAACCTCCAACTTAGGGATTATGTGTCCCAGCCCGAAACCAAAATCAAATACCCCGATAAGTCGCATAACCACAATATAACACAGAGAATGTAATAAATAGGGGATCGAGGCTAAAATACTCAAAACGACCGACCGAGTCGTTACAATAATAGATCGAGTAAAAATAATTCTGAAATATTCTGAAAAAAAAAATTTATATATGATAAAGTGATGGAAAAAAAAATGAAGGGACATAGGAAATGTATTAAAAGTAAATCTATTGTAAGATAATATGTGTTCTCGTATCAAAATAAGTGTATGATTACTTCAAGCATTATTTTATGAAATTGCTTATTGATTTAAAACTTCTTCGAAACACATAAAATACAAAAATAAAAGTATATGAAGAAAATT